TTCAGTAACGGCTGCAAATATGAAAAAAACCATCTCTGGGCTTGTGGCACATGCACCGTGGTAATATTGATTGGTAGAGAAAGAAATAGTAACAAGCCGAGGGAAAGAAAATGTCAGTGACAAATGAGGTTCTGAGAATGTCACATGTGAGTCCCCGAGTAGAAAGAATGACAGTCCCCAGCACTGTTGACCTGTAGCACAGCGTGTGACCACCGAAACGGTCCATGTTGCTGTCCAACAGGGCAGTCTCTGGCTGCACATGATTATTGGGTGCTTGGGATGTGGCTAATGTCGATTTGACTTAATTTAATAGCTTTTCAAATTTGGAGGATGATTTTCAGAAGAGTGGTGAAGACAGTACAGGGAGGCCCTATTATGTTCCTTTTCTTAAAAAAAAATTGGGGGGGGGGGTTCTGGGGATGAAACCCAGAATCTTGAATGAACTAGGTGATCACTCTACCACTGAGCTGCACCCCAGGCCTCCCTGTGTACTCTTTGCTCAGTTTCCCCTGTTAATGTCACCTATGACCCCAATCCACTTGTCAGAATTATGAAATTAACATCACACTTTACTATTCACTCAACATCGGGCCTTATTCAGATTTCATGTTTTTTTCCACTAATTTCCTTTTCCTGGTGTAAGATCCAATCCTGGCCATCGTGTTCCACTTAGATTTTATTCGAACCTGATTTGTCTGAGTTTAAATAGTCAGCCGTGGCAGTGGCAATTCACAGACGATTTTACTAACTATATCCCACAGAGCAAATGCGGAGAGGGAATTCTCTTCTGAGCCTCTGAGCCCGGGATGCGCATTGAACTTGATTTGAGTATTTCTTAAGGATGGAGGGAATATCGTTTTTTAACTGAACTTGTCCCGGCAGGGGGTTTGGGGAGGTGTTTCAGAAAACTGGGTTCAGGATCTGTTTTTTGCCTAGCTATGGGAATGAGTCCAGCCAGAGCTCCAGAGAACCCAGATGAAAGTGCAGAGAGCAGGTGCCTTTGCAGAGGCGCAAGATCAGGGAGGACCTAGCTAGGAGCACCAAGTGCCAGCCAGGAAGATGCACAGACAGACAGCTGTGCTTGTCCTGAGCAGACGCCCTGGGGGAGGGGCTGCAGCACCCAGGCCCTCCCCCTCACCTACACCTTCTGCCCCAGATCAGGAAGCCTTGACCAGCTCACCTGTCACCTTCACGACCACAGCAGGGCCCTCTCTCGTTGCAGAATTAGCAAATGGTCAGGCTCAGAGTGGCTTCCACAGCCCTAAACCAGAGATCCCTGTTGACTTCTGAAGTTGCCCTGGTGTGCAACCCTATTGGTAAGGGGCATGCTTCTTCCTTTCGAAGCTGTGTTCCTGCGGGCTGGGGCTCTAGGGACTCTACAGAGACCTGTTGAACATTTGATGCCCCTGGAGCATAGCCCCAGGTTTGCAACCATTCACAACCACAGGCAAACACGGATTGACGGGTCCATCTTGGGGAGCACAAAAGTCCACGTCTTAGCCAGGGACGACGGGACGGTGAGGTCCAGGGAGCCGGACAGAAATTACCACAACAGAAAACTGTTTGGGTAAAACTGTTCCCCGAAATGCACCAGGGTAGACAAACCCTGAATGCTCTGGATGTGAGTGCAATGGAAAGGGGGAACCTACAGGGCCTCCCAGGACACAGTACCAGGGACAAGAGGCATCCGTGGCGCCCAGAACCATCAGAGATGCTGAGCACACAACTGACCCCAAAGCTTTCCTGACTTCGGAGCCTGCGTTCCCACAGCCGCAGCTGTGTTTCCCAAAGTGGGCTCCAGGGCAGTTCTGCTCTACTGCCCCAGATGGGCTCGGTGTCTGCATAGCACCTGGGAGTGCCTGCTGCACATTGATGCTTGTGAGGTTCATGGCGCACATCCATGTGCTTTAAAAGGCCTACTATGTGTCAACGATTTGAATGGGAATCATGCAGGCCTTTGTCCTAAGCGTTTTGGACCAAAGGACCCTAGCCCTGACCTTTACTGCTTAGTATTTGCAAGAAACACCCTGCAGACGTGGTGCTCTTGATGACAGCTGGGAGAATGCTCCATTCCACTGTTTTTTATATACGATGATGGGTGGATGGAAGGAAGGAGGGGAGGGAAGGAGAGAGGATGGGTGGAGGGAAGGAAATGCAAAAGGTAGACAAATGCGGAATGCTCCGGAGGTGAGTGTGACGGAAGGGGAATCTGCAAGGCCTCCCAGGACACAGTAGCAGGGGAGCAAGAAATGACAGATGGGTGGATTTCAAGAATCATGGCCTAAGAACTCCAAGGAGGGGTAAGAGGGTGTCAGGGACAGATTTTTTTTTTTTTTTTTTTTTTTGGTATTGGGTTATTCAGGGAACAAGAACCTGAACATTGGGACTTGGAGGATGTTTTATAACAGGGGCTGGGGCTGAAGAGGAGAAGCAGAGCTTCCAGAAGGGGGACTTCTGGGAATCTGGGGTGGCGGAGGTAGCCAGCTCTTTGTTACCTGGTATCTTTGAATAACTTTTTTTTTTTTTTTTTGTACTGAGGATGGAACCCGGGGGCACTTTGCCACTGAACCACATCCTCACCCTTTTAGACTTATTTTGAGATAAGATCTGGCTAAGTTGCTTGGAGCCAGGTGCTGAGGGTGCCCTTGAACTTTCCATCCTCCTGTCTCAGCTTCCTGAGTTGCTGGGATTGCAGGTGTGCACCACCGTGCCCAACTTGGAAAAACTTTTCTAATGTTCCTTCTTCCCCCTGTTTTTATTTACTTCCTCCCACCTCGACCTCCTTTTCCTCCTTTCTGCCCAAATATCTGTCCCCTCCTCTCATCTCCCAAGCACTCTCCTGTCTGACAGTCCATGAGGAGCTGTGTGCATGTGTATGTGTGCACCTGTGTTTATATTTACTTTTGAAGTTACCAACGTTACTACAGAGAGGTTTTGTTCCCCCTTTTTTTTTAACTTAAAAAAGCCTGAGTTTGGCATTTTACATTTCTTTTATTCCCCAATCTAATTATGTTTCTTAGGGTTATGAGTGATCCTTGACCAATCTTACTTCCCCCTCCTGGAGGCCAGAGGTCTCAGAAGCCCCCCACACACACACTCTGGCCTCATTTTCTCTGTGGCTGATGCTTGGTGAGTTAGGATCCCAGAGGATGAGGAATGACAATTATGATCTTCTGGGCCTGCACTGCTCTGATCTCCACCCATCAGCTTTCTGAACGTGCCTGGGAGTGTTTAGAGCGAGATGCAACGAGACAGGTTGTCAGAGGAGAGCCGCTGTGTGGGGAGCAATGGTTGAATGGAAAATTAGCTTTTCTTTCCTGGTAATTGTTTTGACATGAGTAGTAATTAGCCAACAGCTAACAAGACCAGAACTGGAGAGAGAACAAGAGATTGGATTAGGGGCAGGGTGCCCCTGCATTTGGTATTCCCTGGCCATTCTTAAGTCTACCCGACTGGGAGCGTGGGGGTGCTGGGCTGGGAGACTGATAGCAGCCTATTGGGGGTGCACTTTGAGGTCCTGTGAAGGGGGCATGTTGGGGTCAGGACAGCCTCTGCCCTCAAGGAGCTAGGAACAACTTAGTTTTCAGGGATTCAGGGTCATCAAAGACAGTAACGTTACCTGCCCCGGTGAAAACGTGTGCGTTTCATTTCCATAGACTGAACTGTGCTTCTGTTTTGCATTATCTTTCTCTGGTCTGAGGATCAGGGTGATGTTGGCTTTGTATAGAGGCTGGGAAGCTGGCCACGTTTCTGCGCTCTGGTACGGTTTGTGCCTGGGTGTTTCTTTCTTGAAAGCCTGAACAAATTTGCCTATAAAACTGTCTGGGTTCAGTGCCTTTGATAGGGAAGTCCTTTTCCAAAGATTTGGCTCTTTAGGGGCATTTCTAGTGTTCCTTGAAACCATGTTGATAATTTGAATCTTATGAAAAATTTGTTTTTTTATTAGCATAGAATTAGAAATCATATGCTCCTCCATTAAAAAAATAAAAAACTCTACTATATTTGTTACTTTTATCTGTTCTGGTTCCCAATTCTGAGCATTTGTGGTCATTCTCAATTTAAGCTGGCTCATTGCCTGTTTTCATTGTGATTCTAACCCCTCCCCGCTGCCCAAACACACCACACACACCAGACACACACACCACATCATACACACACCACATATACACACACCACTCCATATACACACCACACACATATATCACATACACACACACACACACCACACACACACCACACCATATACATACACACCACACACACCAGACACAAGACCACATCATACACACGCCACATATACACACACCACTCCATATACACACCACACACATATATCACATACACCATACACACACACACCACACACACACACCACAACATATACACACACACCACACCATATACATACACACCATATACACCACACACACACACACACCCCATAACATACACACCACACACATATACCACATGCACCACACACACCACACACACCACACACATACACCACACCACATACATCACACACACATACTATACACATACACCACACACACCACACACAGATAAAACACATACATACACCACAGACACCATGCACCACACATACCACACACACCACACACCAAACACACACACCACACACATACACCACACCACACATATTACACACCACACACATTACACACCACACACATTACACACACATACCATACACCTACACCACACAAAGATAACACACATACATACACCATAGACACCACACATACCACACACACCACACACCAAACACACACACCACATACATACACCACACACATACACCACATATCACACACTGCACACATTACACACTGCACACATTACACACATACATACTATATACATATACCACACAAAGATATCACACATACATACACCACACACATAACACCCACACACACCACCCACCCACAGCCAGCGCTGGGTCGCTGATGTCACCCCGTTTCCTCACTCACTAATTCATGTTGATATTCTTTTGTTTTATTCTTTTGTTTGGCCTTTTATACTTTACTAAAATCTGAAGTTGAATGTTCAGTCCATTGATGTTGATTCCTTTGGGCTTGGTGATGAAATAATTCAGGCTCTGGACCTTCCTCCCGAGGATGACGCAGGCTTTGTCCCGCTGGTATTCATGTTTTTCCTCATCATTTTCTACATTTTGCATACTAACAGTCTTCCATTCTCTTTCCACCTGACGTCACTTATGAGGACATTTTCTTAATTTTCCAGGTGTGTGGGAGTTGGGAGATTGGGAACTTTGTATATCTCTTTCTTTTTTGATTATTAATATCTACTTTTATTGATTTCTGATCAAAGAATGCGGCCTGTGTTCTCTATGCCTTTGATCATTTATTGACAGTTTATTTGTGGCTTACCTATGGCCAACATTGTGAGTATTCCGTGGCTACTTGGAAAAAGATGCCATCTTTTTTACAGGGTCTGCTGTTTATACGTCTACTTCAGTCTTTTAAGTTAAATTATTTGGATCTTACTTCTTCTTATTCTTGTTTATTCTTCAATCCCGGACTGAGAGCAGTGTCCTGAGGTTCTCTCCTGTTGTCTTGGAACTTTCTAGCGTGTGTGTCTTACCCCTGTGGGCTCCATGCTGTTGGATTAGTGAAATCTCTCCAGTGTGATGGGATGGAGTTCTCATGGATCCAGAGCCTCCCTGGCATAGCTTTAGGCCCACCTGAGCAGAGTCCCCCAGTATCCTTGGCACCCCTCTGGAGCCCTGGCCTCCTCTTCTTAAACTGCCTTTTCACCTGGGTTAATATGATTGGCATTGGGCCATTCTCCTGAGGGGCATGGATGTGGATGAGGCCCAAGCTGGCCACATTGATGGATTCTTCTTCCCCAAGCCACTGCACTAGGACCGTGCTCTGTACCAGTTTTCTCTTTTCTTGGTGTGTGCGTGCCCACCCTTCAGAACATGGACAGACCCTGTGGATGGGGGAGAAGCCAGCGGCCCACCAGCACCCTGCCTTGCTAGCAGAGGGCTCTGGATTTTCACTGCCAGCTTAGAGAGTGGGAAGGGTTCCTCCTGACATGGTCCTCACCATCCTAGTACCCATGGTTTCCTTCCAGCCCTGGCTGCTCCATATTGCAGGTTCTGCTTGGAACCAGAAATATTTTAAATTAGGGATTTTTTTTAATTGGAATATTTGCATATATATAATGAGATATCATGGGGATGGGATCCAAGTCTAAACACAGAATTCATTTATGTTTCATACTCACCTTATACACATAGCCAGAAGGTCATTTTATACACTATTTTTCATAATTTTGTGCATGGCACAAATTTCATGGGGTGGAATTTTCCACTCAGTGCATCACGTGGGCACCCTAGTAGGCATTTTGGATTCTGGATTTTTGTATTAGGGATGTGCAACCTGGAGTCAATGTTAGTGACTCTTAGCCATTTTCTCCTTGACTTCCTGCCGTACTGAAGAGCTTTCCCAAAAAGAATTATGACACCAGTTATATATCTTGGGACATCAGTGGGTATGTCTTCCTCCATTCTGACCTGCACTATCTATATGTGTTGGTGCTAGTTCCAATCCCAGGACGTAAGGCTGGCTGGCTTTCCTGGTCTCCAGAGGTTGTTCAAACTGGTGGTACACGGGGATTAAATTCAGGGACAAAAGCACATCCCTCCCGGTCATCCTCATCTCTCTCTATTCTGTTTTAATGAAGTACTTCATTACCCACGGATATCTCTTTTGCAATTACCGCCTCATGGGACTGTCAACATCAGAAAAGTAGTTTTGGAGACTCAGTAGAATTACCCTCTAAGCTCATGTAACTGTAGCCAGGAGAGAGCCACACCGCCTCTGGGAACTGTGACTATCTGGGTCCCAGTGCCAACTCGGGATGTCAGGATCATGCAGCAGCATGGAGGGCCCGAAGCTGGCCAAGCGTTGATGCCACAGAGATCAGACACTACAAACCAGGGCTCCCTTGCCCCCACTTGGAGAGCAGGTTTATCCACACACATTGGAATAATGAGAAGTGTCCCCCAAGAGGCATATGTCCGTAGCGGGTAGAATTTTAGAGCCTCTGATTATTTTAATTTTAGCAATAACAAGATTTGAGAATGTCTATATATGATCACCCAGCTAGTAATTGGCAGAGCCAAATTTCATGCCATCCAGTCGATCTAGTTATCATTCCGTCCCAGGGGTTGAGCATCCCTGGCCCCCAAATCTAAACTCAGAACCTTTTTGAACATCCCAAGACTTCTGGATGTTGGAACTTTTCATATTTTGAATTTTGAGGGTTAAGGATGCTCAACCAAGGTTGAGGCAGGGAGATCTCGAGTTCAAAGCCAGCCTCGGCAACAGGGAGGCGCTAAGCAACTCAGAGAGACTCTGTCTCTAAATAAAATATAAAAAAAGGGCTGGGCATGTGGCTCAGGGGTTGAGTGCCCTGAATTCAATCTCTAGTACCTCCCCACGCCCCCGCCCCCCATAAAAAAGGATGCTCAACCAGTGTCTAAAGTCTATGCAAGTATTTCAAAACCCCAAATCCTTCTGGTCCAAGCATTGCAGATCAGGGTTACCCAATCTGTACCTACATCACACTGTTCTGAGGGTGGAGAAGTTCTTTAGAGAGAAAGGCAAGATATTGTAGGAAGGTGACGAAGGGGCCAGCTGACTCCACAGAGAGAAAGATGTGACCTTTGACCAGAACCCAGGACCGCAGCTGATTGGTGGCCTCGGCCACTGGACTCTATGACCTCGCCTCTTGTTAAACACCCTCCTGAAAAGAAAATTTCGCCCCCCCCCTGACCATTCAGTCACTCAGGTGCCATGGATCAGACAGAAGTTTCCTAGCCATTTCCAGCTCCGCAGCTAACCATGAGATCCTGAGAGACCATCTTAGCCATGTGAGGGCCTCTCAGAACCCAGGGAGTGGTGGGAGAAGGGACTGGAATGGCCAAAAGTCGGAGGTGCCTCTTTGTGGCCCCCTCACAGCATCTGAGCCGTGTCTCTGTCCCCGCAGTGAATGGATACCACGCATCAGGGACCCCAGCGCACCCTCCAGAGACTGCCCACATGAGTCTCCGAAAATCCACCGGTGATTCCCAGGTAAGGGGTCCCGTTGAGGGAGGCCTAGGAAGGGGCCCAGGAAGGGTTCCTTGAGAGGGGCATGTCCATGGGAGTCCATGGCTCCAGCCCAGTTGGAACTCCTAGGTGGAAAGTGCCTGGTACATCCGGGGTATTCTAGAGTTTCCTGATGGGCAGAGGGTTGGATCGTGGGAGTCTGTTTTCTAGACCGTGAGGGTGGTTTGGAAGAGGGGGTGATAGGGATCTAACTGTCAGGACAGAGGGCTCCATTCTGCTGGCTGCATTCTTTGACACATACAGCCCAGGTTTCTCTTCACTTTTAGAGTATGGACAGGCGAGTCATTCCCCCCTTTCCATCCCTGACTTATCTCTCCCACCCCCAGAGGTTACCCACAATGGAGTTGATGAGTGCCATTCCATCATCTCACTTGCTGAGCCGTCGTAGAGATAGCTAGAGGGCGGAAAGCATTGGCAGTGTTTCACAATCCCCAAACCACTTTCTCATTCTCTGTCTCGGTGGACCCTTGTACAAGGGCACGAGGTAGATGTCGGTACCATTCCCACGGTGTATGAGACCACGGAGGCGCAGACCGGTGAAGTGACTTGTGCAGGCTCAGGTGGTGACTCAGGTCAGACTTGGACCTGAAACCCTGTCCGTGGTTTCCCCAGTGGTTCTAAAGCTGCTCTAAGAGGCTGAGGGTTAGTCTTAACTTTGTCTACCCAAAAGTTATCAAAAGAAGAGGCTTTCAGTGAACCTTCCAAATTCCACCAGGCTTTTCTTTTTTTTTTTTTCTTTTGGAATTAAAATGCTAGAACACAGGGGTGGTGACAATGATGATGACTGAGGATGATTATGATGATAACATTGCTGATATTGACAAGAACAAGAGCTGCTTATTCAGTGGCTTCAAGGTACCAGCCAGTGAAAGAAAAAAAAAACCTTGTGTTCTCCTGGTCCCATCAATTAAAATGTGACACTCCTACACAGGCAAGAGTGTTAATTTTGGGAAAATCATTAAGTCATTCTCAAGAGGCTGAGCATTGGCTGGGTTCAGGTTCGGTTGAGTTAGCTCTGGCAGAGAATTTGGACGGGTCAGGACTTCTTAAATTGGGAATGATGTCTGAGTCTTCTGGGGCCTCTTGTTAAAAATATAGATTCTGATCCAAGAAGTCTGGGATAGGGCAGGTATTTTCAGCCATCCCCCAGGCAATGCTGATGCTGCTGGGGACTGAGCCTGATTAGTAGGGATCTAGGCTTAGTCAGTAGTACACAGAGATGTGTCTGTCCTGCTCACCCCCCTGCTCATAACACCTGGATTTGTGTGTTTGCTGCTGAGTTCCCAAATAGCCTCCCCCAACACTCTGTCAGTCGGCTGTAAGGGAAACTCACTTGTCATCTGATTTGCAAGTGTTTTCTGAAGAAATCAGACTAAGTTCTGCTTGTAGGTTTTTTCAATTTCATTTTTTCTTTTTGTTTTGTTTTTGGTACTGAGGATTGAACCCAGGGGTGCTTAACCACTGAACCACATCCGCAGCCCTTTTTATTTTTTAAAATTTGAGACAGAATCTTGCTCAAGTTGCTCAGGGCCTCACTAAATTGCTGAGGCTGGCTTTGAACTTGTCATCCTCCGGCCTCAGCGTCTTAAATTGCTGGAATTATAGGTGTGCCACCACCACACCTGGCTGCTTATAGTTTAATTGCAAGAAAAAAAAAACACTGGTGCTACCCTGAGCATCATCAGGAAGAACATTGGAAACAGCTCCTCCTTCTTCCTTCCCTATGCTACGAAGTTGTTACTCAACCATTTCAGAAAATGTTGACTGGCATAACTAATTTATAACTCAGAATCTGATTTCATAGTGTGAATCATAAGCCTTTGACATAGGCATTTCTCTTCCAGAGTCTGTTCTCGGAATATATTCAGGGATTCTGATTTAGGCTTCAAGTTGTTCTCTCGAGCACTATTTATAGCCCTGTAACATTGGACCCGACCTAATTGTCCAGCAAGAGGAGATGGGGAAATGGATTGTTATCCTTGACATCCAACCAGTCAGGGATACTGTGCAGCCATTCAAAAAGCATTCTTCTAAGGAAGATTCAATGATTGGTGGAAATGCTCACAACTTAACATCAAGTAGGAAGAGCAGAACACAAGTAATATATATTATTAGTCTTATTTGTAGGAAGAAAACCGACACTTAGGTGAAGAAAAACCAGGAAAAGAAAAGAAACCAGAACATTTATGATGGTTTTATCTGCATCTAAGACCATGGGAACATTTGGTGACATTAGGGAGACTTTTTTTTGTTACAGGTAGGGACTGGGTGCTAATGGAATCTAGTGAGTAGATGCAGGGACATTGCTAAATAACCCAAAGTGCACAGGATAGCTCCCCACAGCAAAAGATCACCCAGGATGAAAATACAAGTTATGCTGAATTTGCAAAGCCTTATCAAAAATCATGGGTAATTTTTACTCTCGTTACATTTTTAACTATGTCTCAAATTTCTTAAAATGAAAACATTTTATTTTTATAGAAGACATTATAGGCTTTTGTTTTTGTAGTACTGGGGATTGAACTCAGTCACTTTACCACTGAACTACATTCCCAACTGTTCCTTTACTTTTTGAGACAGGATTTCCCTGTCCTCACTGCCCCGGAACTTGTGATCCTCCTGCCTCAGCCTCCCGAGTCACTGGGATTGCAGGCATGCGCCTCTGCATCTGTCTTACTACAGTGTTCTATTATAAAACATAAAAGCAGAAAGGGAGATACTAGTATCAGGGATTCAGTTCTTTTAGGCTGTGACAGGGTAACATTTGGATATGAAAGCTACTACTGTTTGTCCTAATTTGTGATCCTACAGAGTTGATTATCCAAAAAGGTGCTAAAGGCTGAATATAAAATTTTAAGGTTTGGTTTTTGCAGATGGCACTGCCAACAATGGATCCCTAAGTATACCGTCTCATCTAGCATGCAGGCTGATTCACTCACACCACCCCAGGCTGTCAATCATAACTCGTAACAACTACACTCAATTATTGAAACATGCATCAATGAATCAACAAAGGAACACATGCCCATTTAAAAGGCAGGGTGTGGGGTATATAGAATAGTTTGTTCAAGGTTACAGAGCTCAAACTAACAAACCCCAGAAAGTGTTGTGTTCACTTTTCTGTCACCTGCTAATTGCCCCTCACTGAGCCGGCTAATGGAGATTAGCATGCTGAGGGGAGGAGGGCATACCAAATTTTCATGGAAACCAGGAGTGTGTACGCACCATGCCCTGTCATGAGTAGATCCTATGGCTGAGAGCCCCAGTGGTTCTTGAGGGTCCTGCCTCTTCCTATGCCCAGCCTGGGCCCACCTGCATGGGTGGGCACAGGTGGTGGTGGTGATCTGGTGCCACCCAGTGGAGAGTTTCAGTAATGCAACTCTATAGCAGTGCACGGAAGATAAATGGAGATCTCCTGACTGGGAGGAGGGGAGGGGGATGAAAGGGTAATAGTCTTGCCAGCCTTTGCCCACTCGTGGACAGGTCCTTTGGTGATCCATTTCTCAGTTGTTCTGACTTGCCATGAACTTCCCCAGGAAGAGCGAGGGAAAAAAGAGAATGGGACTTGGGACGTGGACACTGAAGGGACCCATTGAAGACTGGAGTTTAAGGTGGGGGGGTGCTGCATGTCTGCCATGCCCCGCCTCCCCGCCAGTTTGGTGCCACTTGTTCCACCGAGCATTTACATCTTTGCCAGTCACTGAGACACAGAAGGATGTGGCGTTTGCCCTTATGAAATGGGGGTCTGTAGATTTTATAATGATCATGTGATTTCAACTGTGATAAGGGCTGGAGGAAATGGATGCTAGGTGGTGCGTGGGTGGGTGTGGGGGGACATCAGGCATGGAGAAAAGGTACTTGGTTGAAGACTGAAGTATGAGCTCAGCTTGGCTCGGCAAAGTGATGGGGTTAGGACCCAAGCAGGAGGACCCCAAAGATTATTTGTAGGGAGTGGGAACAGGCTGTCAAGACATCTGGAACAGGGTCTTGCTGAGTCACTTGTGAATGGCCCACTGTGTTCAGCAGGCAATTTGCATATGCCACACCCGTCAGTTCTTAGGGTGACCCAAGAGCTGCCCAGGTGCAGTCAGGACACCATACTGGGGAGGGGTTTTAAAAATAAATGGAAAGGAATTCTCTGGAATTACAAAGAAATTTTTAAACAGATATTTATTAAGGGAATTTGCACACTTTTGCACCAATGGAGGTTACACTCTGATAAATTCCCACTTACCTACCCTTTAGCTTCAGCGATTGCTGGTGCTTGGCTTGTCTTATTAACCTCATGTCATTTATGCTCCCTTCTGCACCCCTGATGCCTCTCCCCCAACTTTTAAAGCAAATTCCTGGCATATTGTTTTAAATAAAAAACATTTCAAAATGTATCTCGAACAGGAAAGACAACGTAATGCCATTATAACATCTAAGGAAGTATAAATTTGTGTACGAAGCCTGTACATAAATTCTTTAGTTGTTCCCAGAAGGCTTTTCTAGTGTACTCTTCTCCCCAGTCCAGGATCCATTCAGGTTTCACATGTGGGCATATTGGCTGCCCTCTCTTTAGCCCGTCTCTGTCTCTGTTTCTCTCTGCGTCTCACAAACAGCTTTGTCGGGATATAATTTACAGTATAATGCACTTATATTGTTATTAATATTAGTATTTTGGTACTGAAGATTTAACCCAGGGATACTTTATCACTGACCCAGGTCCCCAGTCCTTTTTTTT